AAAAAAAAACTGATTTGACGTTAAACATTGTGTTACTTTGAATCTAATGACTCTTCTTTTCCCTTCTCAACTTCTTTGGATACCTCCAGGCTCCAGGTTGAACCAAAAAAAATAAAAATCTTGTCGAGGATTGTCTTGTTGCAGACAATGAATAATGTCATTGCATTATTGGAAAACTAATCAAAGTTAAGTTAAACATAGCCATATATCCTCACTACATGTTCACTTCAAAAACAAGTTTAATCTTGTAAACAAAATTTCTTACATGATTTGACAAACTCTAGAGATGTTACTATAATACTTTTTGAAATATATTAGACTTCATTGATTCTATCTAATGGGGATATTCAAGTTTCCTTCACAATCCAGCTTGGGAGGATAACAATGTAAAGGGAAATCTAATGATTGCAATCCATATTCAATGCTCTTTCTTTAGTTAGGTATGTGTTGGGTCGGGACTCTTGACAAATGCTACATGCATACAGTATCAGACGGTGAAATCCATTAGAGTGGCAAAAAGCTTCCCGGGTTAGGGAAGAAGACAAAGCTAATCCATCCACATACAAGTAGTCCGAAAACTCATACTAGCTTGTGATTACGATAAATGATTTATTTTTGTCATTGTCTCTCTGTCTATTTGCTTCAAATTCACTTGTCTCTCATTGCACATCACATAGTATCACATCATATACAATAGTTCAAAACCAATTCACGAGAATGTGGCTCGAAAATGAACTGAGAGCTAGGTTCATGCTTATTAGGTGCATGCATGGATGATTGACAAGCATTAGACGAAGAGTTTTTTTGTGCAGGTGAGATGGATTTTAGTAGTTAGCGTTTACTACTTAGAGAGTGATCAGTGTATAAACAGTTGAAACCAGTTATATGATAAGGGAAGTGGGTTCCATGTACAGATATAATTGATGTTCTTGCTTTATTTCCATTTTAGTTAGAGACACAGGATAATTCTTCGAGTCTTACCTTTTCTGAATTGTCTCCAAAATAGATATAATTATTTTATTGAGTTCGTGTCACATGTTCTGAATCTTGTATAGTTTTAAAAAGAAATATATATATGTATATATATATATATTAATCGTACGAATAGATTGACACGATTTAGTCGTCAACTGAAACTTTTGAATGGTCAAAACTCATAACTGTGGAAAGGCACACTTCATCTTCTGGTTCCTGTTGTAAATCACGTGGATTTTTGGACTCTACTACGAGGGGAACAGTTTACTGATATGCAGGTGTTTGAATGGTACATTATTATATCATTATAATAAAACTAAATATCATAATGTTATTAGAATGGTGTAACAGTATTACGTTATATATAGTCTTTGACTGTTTTTGTTGAGTGTATATTGCACAATTAATTCAAACATGTGTTCCATTTGTTTGAACATAACGAATGTGCTAGTCGTCCCAAAAGTAAGTGGAAAACACGATCTGAGACTTAATGTCAAGCAGCAGAAAGCAGAAGGATGGGACAATTTCTACAGACACTACAAAAAAAAAGGAAGTTACAAAGCATTTGAGCGTCGACAGAAATAATTAAGAGCATTAATGTTTTCTTTTTGTATTAGTGTTTTTGAGTTTGTTTTTTTTTTAAATAATTAGTCACACTTTATTAGCAAATCAAGTTTGTGCTTTTGATAATTACAAGCTACTTTAATCGTTTTAGTGACATATTATAAGCTTAACTTTCATGCATGGAAAATGAAAGCTACACACTTTCATGCAGCTGACACTCATCATGCTTCCCATGGACTCTTAAGATTTTCAACGAGATTTTTCTCCACGCGGATTTCTATTAATGTATGTTAATTAATCGTAAACTATGACTTTTTGTTTTTAAACAAATTTTAATTTTGTTTAGGACGAGCCTTGAAATTTTAAGGGTTTATGGCTATTTTTATGTAATTTCTTTATTTATGTCGACGCTGGAAATAATTCTGGTGGTGAACGGGTTGCAGCTGCAAATACGGCTCCGCATTTGATTTGTACTAGTCATGATATGACTTAGGTTCCATTGCGTGGGTACAGACGCATGCTGGTACCGGACCTAGGAAGGATTAAAACTGAAGGCTCGAATCCATCCTAACAAAAAAAAAAGTTTCTTTTTTAATTTGGAAGCTAGGCGTAAAACTCAAATTTTCTTGATTTCCGTCTGGAACACTTTTGTTGCTGCAATACCATTTGGCTATGGACAACAGACCAGGTGTTTGATATGGTATGCTTGTAGCTAACGAATTTGACTATCTGTAGACTAGTCTAGCTACAATTCCAATTACTAGGTTAAAGAGAAAAAGATCCTACAAAAGGTGAAGTAAATCATAAAATTATATCAAAAAGCTTAGAGAAAATGGCAGTAAAGTAAGGTATGGATATAATTAAATTTTGATACAAGTGGAATGACTTTGGGTTTGAGAAATTGGGTTAATATTAAACATACAATTTAACTTTAGTTCGGTCTTTTAGACTATCTAACCATATGATATATCAAAAGCAGATTTCGCTTGTCGAGACAAATGAACAAATAGTAGATTATAGACAGAAATGGCTCTAGTAATAGAGTGAAACTATTTGATAAAAAAAAAGTAATAGAGTGAAACTGAAGGATACTAGAAATTTCAAACTTTTATATATAGCATTGGACAAAGTTTAGAACAACAGCTTGCAATTAGCACATTGCAATTAGTTTCAATCTTTGTTTATATTAATTTTAATAGAGATGAAATTAAAAAATAGTAGAGATAAGTTGAGAAGTAATTATGATTATAAATAGAAAATAGAAAATAGAAAATAGAAAACGTATGACTTCGTGAAACAAAACAAAAATCCAAAACACTTAAAATTTTGAAAGAGATGGAAAACAATGTTATATGTTGTGAATTCAATGAACTGAATAAGATAATACTGAGCTTTCAGAATAAATCTTTGAGTGTTCTCAAGATACATCACTATATCAGTCGTTTAAGTTTCAAAATCTAATTGTTACAACTTACCATTTAACGGCATAGAAAGCTTTGGTTGACCAAACACCCCCATTATCATTTGCACTATTTAAATTGAATGTTAACTTTTATTCTAAAAATTACAAAATCGTCATAATATAACAAATTACTTCAGAACTTTATTTTGGGTAAATCTAAAGGAATTTTTTTAGTGGACCCAAATGAAAAGGAGGAAGCAAACTGAATAAGAGTGACATCACAGCAACACTGAGGATCCTCTCTATCTCTCTCTCTGAGGAATTTCTTTACATATGTTTTTAAAATATAGGCTGTTGTATTTGATGTCAAACCTAAAAAAATCCATATAGTTCACAGCAAATTACTTGTAATCATAATTCAAAAGGATACCATGCAAAATAAATATATGTCAAGACGTTATCATATAATATAACTCTTTTGTTTAATTGTCTACCACGCACTGTACAGATAGAAGAGAGGTCCACTTTTTGGGGTCCAACTTTACATTCATATAAATCTTAAATGTAACCCCACAGAAAAGGAATAGCTGAAAGTATCTTTTAATAAACTTATTCCAATCTTTCAAAAAAAAAAGAACTTATTCCAATTATAAAGACTTCTTTAACAAAAAAAAAACTGTATAAAGATTCAATGATTGTGAGCTTCTTGAAGTTTATCACTACAAGTGATATGGTCCCATTGATGATCCATTTGATATATTCAAAGCCATAAATTAGATAGTGTAAGATTTCGGGATGAGAAATATAACTTGTTTGAAATGTTTCAGCAGTGAATGAAAGTACATATTAACTAACTTTTAAGATAGCAAAGGTAATTTTGTTTTTCAATTTATGGTGATTAGTGACAATAACAATACATAAATAATGAATATTTGCAGAATTAGTATAAGGGGGGATATTCATGATTTGTCATAGTTTTTACTCTATGCATATGACTAATATCATCTATTGGTTGTAAATATACAGTTACATACATATATATATAAATTCACTAATTATTTTGGTAAGGGGTTTTTGTTTCAGTCAAAAATATTAATTTTACCAGGTTTAAATTCTGATGATGATACAATACTGATACTGATACAAACCCTATATTATACAGTAAGTATGTTATAAGAATATTGCATATTTAATGGTTTGTAATAGAAAAACAATAGCCTGATAAATGCCAAAGGAAAACTAGCGACATGTGATCTCTCTAGCCTCTAGCAGATGCGTTACATAAATGCAAAAGCTCTTAGAGTTTAGCACCATAAAACAAGAACAAAACGAAATTACTTGTAACATCCCGAGTTGTGATATGTGGAAAGATTTAAGAAAATTGATTTGGCTACCTATGTCACCAAAGTGCATTTACCTTTTCGGGAACACATCCAGAGAGAACTCCAGAGTTAAGCGTGCTTGAGCTGGAGTAGTTAAAGGATGGATGACCTATCGGGAAGTCATTTGCGATACCGTGTAAGTGAGACCAAAGCACGGGGAAAGGTCATGTGGTGATTGCAGGGTCAATAAACATGACTCTAGAACGGGACCGGCCGTAGACGGCCCATTAGCCGTGCGCGGTCGGGGTGTTACATTACTATTGTTAGCTAAATAATACTAGAAACCAGTAACGAATATGCAGGATAAACCGAAATAATTGCAAATGAATTCAGTGAGTTGAAACTGGTTCAATTAGTACACCCACTTTAACGTTTACTAATATCTACTATCTTCCACTATATGTCATGTGTCATAAAGGCATTGACTGAATAAAATATATTCTAAGAAAAGGTCAAAACATATTATAGATGCTTTCTTTGAATAGAATTTTAATGTTTAAAAGAAAATGATCTGGTAATAACTGTAACTATTCATTTTTCATATATCGATTACATAATTTATCTTTAAGTAATTAACACAGAAAGAAGCCTCGGATTCAGCAAACTTCTAAAAAATAAAGCACACAAAAATAATCTAAAACACAAAAAAGAAAAAAAAAATAGAAATGAGAATCTCATCATTTCTCAACGTCGACGCAAGTAGAAACAGATGTTCTTGAAGAAGAGAGTTCAGATTCAGCAACATTGCTCTTCCTTGGGGTAAAAGATTGCTTACAATGCTCAATAGCTCCTTCGATGGAGTTATCAACCTCCAAGCTCGCATTGCTGCTTCTCATCAGCGTCTGCAGATCTAAAGACCCGTTTGATCCAAAACTAAACGAAGACGAAATGGAAGACCTCGAGGAAGAAGACGAGGAAGTACACTTTGCTGGAGAAGGTCTCTGTATTACACCAGAGAACGATCTCCTGTGACTCAATGGAGATGATTCTTGTTTCTCTAATGGGTTCTTGCTTTTAGAGGATTTAGAGTTCTTGATGTTGAGTTTTTGATGGATCTCTGATGAATCTGAGCATGCTGGTTTGGAGAAGAGGGATCTTATGTAAGCACGTGAGGCCTTGAACTTTTGAGTTATCGATGACTGTTTGATCTTATGCAAGCTTGTGAGGGTTCCTCTTACATCGATCTCACTGCTACTGTCTCTCCTCGGGGAGGATGTGGCGGCGCATGGGGAAGTCAAAGTATCTTTTGTGGCGGTGGAGGAGGAGGAGGCAAGAAGTTGTTGGACCATTTGAAGACGAGGAGGGAGGTGGAGAGGGAGGAGTTGACCTTTGTAGAAGAGATCATCGGCCGGAGAGGTTGTGGATTCGCCGGAAGCTAAGGCGGAGGAGCACATTTGGAACTCGAACTCTCTGCTATGAGGCGGAGAGGAGGTGACGTCGAAGCTGATGAAGCTTGATGAGGACTGAGATGTAGTAGAAGAAGAAGAAGAAGAGAGGTTGATCTCCATGTCTATGTAATCATCATCGCAATCTTTGGACATGACTTGTGTTCTTGTTTCAGGTTCATGCAAATCCATTAACTAAGTAGTTGTGTCTGACAATCTGAATCTTTTTCTCTCTCTTTCTGTGGTTACTTACTTTAAGAGGGACTGAGAGAACTGAGAAGAGCTCATGGGAGGTTGTGAGGAGGGAAAGAGCATCTTTTAAAGTGACATTTCTTTAATTTTAATGTTATTTTTCCCTTTTTATTTTCATACTTTTAAATAAATAAAATAATTAAGATTTCATTTTTTCCTATACTTTAATTATGTAGATAAGTAAAGTTTTTGGAAACATCCAAATTATGAAAGTATTTTATCTTCGAAAGATTTCCACTTTCTTTAGGGGTTTCCTTATTTGATATCACAATCTCAAACTTTACCGTTGCACACTTTTATTAACTAAAGAAAACAAATTAACCATTTTAGTGTATATATATATGTAGGTTATTAAGTTATTACTGCAAGTCTACATGTATGGCTGGTGGGTTCTACAATAAAGTAAAAACCGTGAAGAGCTGAATGGGGATGAAAAATATAACTTCTGATTAATATATGAGTTTAGTCATGAATATGCTAATTGAGCATTAAATTTCATTAAAAATGTAAATTTCCTTACTCACCCACTCCCACTTTATCAGAATACTAAAAATAGAAAATCAAAGTTTTAAATACACGAAGTGGATGGTGTGTCATGGTGGTTTAATGGTATTTGTCTATTTGAATTCAGAGTGTCTAGTTATTAATTAATTTGATCAACTAGATTTCGACCCGCACAACCGTGCGGGTATTTTAATACGAAAATATTTAAAATTATATAATAAAATTTATCAATAAATAAGTATAATTTGATTATGTATGCTATCAAACTTTATAATAATTTTATGTGACTTATAATATTATTAATATAAAATTTATAAATTTTTATTTTTGTAACAATTTTTAAAAACATTATTATGTAACATTACTAATTTATATATTTTTTATTTCTAAATTTGAAATATATGTAAAATTTAAATTAAATTGGAACTATATAATACATAAACAAAATTTTGGGATATTGTTAAAAGTATTTTACATAATTTTAATTTTTGTTTATAAATAAAAAATGAATTAAAATTTTAATTATATTTTATGATAATTAAAATTTTAATCAAATAGTCTTTGAAATTATATCTTGAAAAGATTCTAAAGATTTTTAAAAGATTTTGTTATAATTTTTTTATAACTATTTATTTGCATTTAAAACAAAAATTAAAGATAGGAAAATATATTATAATGTTATGTAAAATTTTATAAAACTCTAAAGATGGTCCAAACTAAAATATTACACATGAAGTGAGTTATGACTTCTCTTTTAATATAATAGATTAGTAAGAGTGGTTTACAATGTAAAGAAACATAGTATTATCAATGGATACTCCCATACCAAGAAAATATTATTGACCAATAACCTAGAATTTTGAAAGTTTCATACAAAAATAGATTCCAGAATACCACTGGAATCTTAAATAAACACAATTATCTTAAGTAGCTAGTTTGTAACAAGCACACAATTTAAAAAAAAGGATTCATAAATAATATATATTCACATGACGTAGATTGCATGTTGGGCTCAACACGAAGATCATCAAGAAAGTGGTGAAGGCAACAACACTTCTAAAGTTTATTGTCTTTGCTTAATTTGTTCGTTTATTCCTGTACATGGAATATGCTTTTTGCATAAAAAAAAATTCAGTTGTTCTTGTATATACATAATGGTTTTAAGAAAAAATAGTCCGTTAAAAAATGCATTTGAAACCGTTACAGTAGCGAGGATGAAACAAAAAAAATTAATCGACAAATGAGTTTGTCGATCTATTTTGAAGTCCTCAACAGATTTTGTTCACATTCCTCGTACTCTTTGCCCCTTTGCAAACCCAAACTGTTTTTCGATTTTCTCCTTTTCGATAAATACACATGTTGCTACTAACTTCACTAAAACCAAAGTTTGGTTTTCAGCTTGAAAACTAAACTGTCCATCGTGATCCACAATGCTAAAACCTAATACTCCAAGAAAAAATATGGGAATTACTGAAACTATACCTAACAAGATTGCAGTTTAAAAAAAAAAAAAGATTGCTGTTTAATTGTAAACACACAGATTTAGTTACTAACTTTAGACACTACTGATACTTCGTTCTACACCTACATTCCCGAAACCATGAAAGGGTTGAATACTAACTTCATTTACAAAATCCTTATCCGAAAATAATCAGTTCGTCCTTTTAATTCGCCCTCTTTAGAGAGAATACATTAATCTATATATATATATATATATGTGTGAATGACAACTGTCCGGTAAAAAAAAATTCAAAACCAATCTACGAACACTAGTTGATTCCACAAAGAAAATATTCATGTAGTGGCTAATTAATGAGTATATATAAATTGTAGCATACAAATTTTATAGCAGCAAGCCAGCAATACTGACTAAAATCTTAAAGTTATGACTTTTTTTTTGTTCAACTCTTAAAGTTATGACTAACCAACCACACTAACCCGCATACAACAATGTCCTCAGAGTTCTGCAAAGAGAGAGATACAAAACTGCCATAAGACCAAGCACAAAACTCACGGTCATAGCCATGCTAAGATTCTAAAAGTTAAGTGCTTAAAATAGTGTTTCAAACAAAAAAAAAAGTGCTTAAAAATCATAGCTATACTTGGAGCAAAGAAAAGAAAATTTATCTATCCTTTCCCCCGTGTCTCATTGGCCACAATACAACGGTCACGTGAATGGTAAATGAGCACAAACGGTAGCTGACAAAAGTCGCAATCTTCTATAAAAGAAAGAAAAAAATCACAATTGAATTTGTTTCAAAATGCACACCTCTAGCTTGTTAATACGTATCAAAAAGCTATATTTTTAATCTATAAAGGGTAATAATTGTTGCAGGTTGCATGAGTAAGTGGACATAGCACCTTTCATCCCCACAGGCGAATTCTACTTTCTCAAGTCTTTTCGTTTTCTACTTTCTTTGTTCATTAAACAATCACATGTACGATTAGTTATAATAATACTATACTGTCCCTTTTCCATCAAGAAAGGAACTTAGAAATAAGATAAAATTAATTTTATGCACTTTGTACTGCGTATTTATACAATCGATCATTAGTTAGTGGTACTATTTAGTTGGTGATTTCGTACAAATCATGTCTTAGTTTGGTGTCGGAGATAACTGAAGTGGGAGCTCTGTCGTACACAGCGAAGTACCTAAAAAGCTGAGTGACTTCTTCTCTGTTTCAATCATTGAAACACCTCACACAAGTAAATGCTTACCACTTTCGATCTCTCTTTTCTCTATCTTCTGTTAAAATACTTTCCAACTCTTTCTCTGGAAGAAGCTAAAGTTTCAGCATCTGAGAGATTAAACAGTTACATAGTGATAGAATGAACCCCTAGACCTTCAACTTCCAGAAACATCTCAAACTGTGAATAAATTAACAAACGATAAAACCAATGACACGCATATAAAGTTGAGTCAAACCCAATAATCTGACGTTTCTCTAACTTATGCTATATTGTTTAAATAACATAACAGATCTAAAGCAAGGAAATGAAAATATGATTGAAACATTAATTTCCAAATTAATTAAACTAGTAGGAACTAAACTTGTAAATAAAACTGTAGTTAACTAACTTAACTTATACCTTCCACTAATGTGTTAATAGAGTTGAGTAGTGGGAAGCTGATCTCAGTCAAAACATATGCTCACCATAAAACCAATAAACTTCACATAGATGTGGACCTACCTATTCTTTCTTTGTTTTGGATTGTTCCTTAGTTCTCCTTGCAATATAAGTGGTCTTGAAATTGTAAACCGTATAGTATCCGTTAGCTACCACGAAACTCGAATTTGAACCTCTTGAAATATTCTTAAAAACTGTTCAGGTAGGACTCAGCCAAGACACCAGATGATAACAACAAAAACAATTCGACTGCTTTTTCAGTTTGTACTAAAAATATGACAATCAAATCATATTGGATCCCAATATTTGTCTAACTTTAAAATATTATTTAGCTTTGTTATTTTGTAATCCAGTTGAAGCAAACAAGTTGTGTCAGTGCTTACAAAAATATTGTTAAAATATTGAATGATAAAATTTAAAGGGAAATTGGGTTGTATAGGGGTGAAAAAACACTAATTAGCTAGATAGCCACTTTCCCTAATACACCTATACACAACAAGACTTTTATATAATAATGCATTTTTACCCTTATACAAACCGGTGAAACCTGCATATTAAAAATTAATAATTATAACATATCAAAAGTAAGTCGTGGCTCTTCATTATTCACATATTTTTCTTTGTAACTTTTAGTAATTCGTGGCCCTTTAATATTCATAATCTTTCTTTGTACTTTTTATTCATTTTCTATTCTATTTGGGGTTAAGATTTTTTTTTTGAATTTAAAATCTATATTTGGGTTTAGAATCTATTGATTATAGTTTAGAATTTTAATATTTGGAAAGTGAAGATTGAGATTGTAGTCAACGTTAACTTCTTTTGTATAATCATAGTCTTTCACAATTTCACCAATATTTATTTTGATCTATTCTATTTGGGTTAGAAGTTTATATTTTAATAATATTTATATCATGTACTATTTGCATAGTTTGATATTTGGGTTAGGGTTTATATTTTCTTATAGGGTTTATATTTCCCTAACTTATGTTTAGTGATTAGGATTTATATTTTTCTACCTTTTGTTTAGTGGTGTAAACAAAAGAAAGGAGTTAATCGCCAATGGATTGGGGTTTATATTTTCCTAATTTTTGTTTAGTGATTAACGTCCATAATATTTTAAACATTTCATAATTTCACAAATATGTACTATGTTATTTTTTTTTTGTTCCATTCTATTTGGATTTAGAGTTTATGTTTGGATTTAGGGTTTATACTTAGGTTTAGGTTTAATATTTAGGGGTTGTCATGGGATAAAGGATAAGTAGAGTTAGATATATTTAATATTTAAAAAGTTATAGATGAGGTTATAATCTTA